TCCTAACCTCATCTGCGGCTGCCGGCCAGACGCATCCTGAGCAAAAGGCTGGCGAGCGCCGAGTCCATGGAAACGGAGCGCCTCACCGGCTGTAGCTCCAAATCCCCACTTCCTTCCTTGGACACCGCACAGGGTGGAGCTGCATCGATAATTCCTCCGTTCCCCAAATCGATCGCCACACAGATCTCCGACTCAGACTCCTCAGATGAAAAGGAATCCCCACGGGGAGCAGGAGGCAGCACAGCAGATGGCTGAACTTCCGCGGATCTTTCATCAGACGCCGTCTGAGAAAGCGTCATCCCAGATTCTCGGGAATCAGCCCGTCCGCCGGCTTCCAAACCGCCCTGATCCACCGCCGCCGCCGTCAAGCTTCTGCTGCCAGTGCCGGGGTCGAGGATCGGAGGTGTAGGGTTTTGGGGAGGGGCGACAATTGGAGCTCGGCAGAGCGGGCAGTTGACATGAGATCGGAGCCAGGTGTCGATGCAGGGGATGTGAAAGGCGTGGCTGCACTTAGGAAGCAGCCGCAGCATCTCCCCTTCCTGGAACTCCCCCAAACAGACGGCGCAGTCGGAGCCGTCCACCAGACCCTCCCCTTTCTTGTATGGAAACACGGAGATCGCCTCGATCGTCATCTCGTCCAGCCCCACCGTCTTGATGTACCAGACATGGTAGGGTTCCTCCCCACCGATCCCCACCAAGAGGTCCTGCCGGAGGCCGACGCCGCCCTCGGCTGGAGCAGGAGCCTGATGCGGCGGCGCCGCCGTAGCACCGACGCCGCCGCGGCGTCGTCGAGAGAAGTGGCGAAGGACGACATGGATCGCGATCAGGAGGAAGCAGACGGCCAGACCGGCCCCAACCACGGCCGTGACGATAGACCGCAGGTGGCTATTGCCAGGTAAACGGACCAACGTCGATTTGCTGCTGGAGCTCGGCGGCGCAACGTAGTCGGTCGCCTCCGGTGAAAGGGCCGGCGGACTCCCCGGAGCGAAGCAGAAGAGGCAGATGGAGATGGTAGTGCTTTCCTTGACGATCCGAGGGTAAAGATCCATGGGCAATGGTGAGTAAGGGCGCCGCCGGCGCCCTTTCCAACTACATACGGACGATCCGCCCTCGGGATCGCCGGCCTTCTTCTCCGGCGATGGCAATGTTCTTTCCCAACTTTCCTCTTTCCCCTGTCCGAGCTAACCCGAAGCTTCTTCTATTCCTCAAAAGGATACTTCTTACTGGTAAACTTATCGCTCTTATTGTTATATCTATTTTTCTGTGCGGAGAATAATTCCCAAGAAAATTCACTAACGATAAAATATTTAACCAATTCAATACTTTTAAACCCAAATTTAAATAATTATGGCATCTCCACCATGTATAAATTAAATCATATTCAGATAATTTATTTAATCAGGGAAGAATAAATAGATAGGAATATCCTTATCTCTGTCCGTTTAATACGGGAATATTCAAATACCGGAAAATTCAAATACTGGAGAAATTCAGATCGGTCGGCAGTTCATCCCCCCACCCACATCCGCCCACCTTCCGTCGCTTTTTGCATTAACTATTTTAATAAGTGATGACGTGGAGGAAATTTCGGCCGACAACTGTGAAGCTTCTTATTCGCCACGTAAAGAAGGTTCGGTCGTGCCCTCGCATCAATTATGGCGGCACGGCTAGGTTGACTTCAATGTGGGGCCCACCAAAGTTGTCGGCACCGCTGAAGTGTTTCTACTGGGCCCTGGGCACGACGCTTTACCTGATTTTAGGAGGTCAAAATATTTATAAGCATAAATAATGTCATAAATAAAAGATTATCAAGCGACAAGAAGTGTGTGTAAACAAACAATTGAAGTTGACTTACTAGGATTACGAGCCAAGGTGAAAATCGGAGCTCACTATGTTATTCTAGGAAAGGAGATTTCAAAGGATTTTAAGGAGCTTCAAATTCCTTTTTTTGCAAACTAGAACAGCAAAAGAAATACTAAAACAAGAGGAAAATGGCAGAAAAAGGTAGTGAGGTGATGGGATCTAGAAGCATTGTTATTTCAAATTTTTAATTCTTTTTAACGCTAACTAATGTATTGGGCAGCCATATTTACCAAAATTAGTAAAATATTTTGTAGTTTTGTCTCAAACCAGTTGAATCTACAAATATAGGCATCCCCATCAAAAGTCATAAACTTCAGCATCATCATCATGATCTGCAATGTCAAGAACATCATTTAGATTGATTATTGCACATGTGCAAATACCTTTTCTTTTAATTACTATTTTATGGGGAAATAAGTGATCTTCTTTAAGTAAAATTTTCACATAACATATCAAACTCAATAATGAATAGAAAATGAAAAATCTAGAGATTTAGACTGCTCTGATGAGGCCTTAGAGATATGTTAAATTCTAATCAAATTGATTTTTTTCTCAAAAATACTTGATTTTCTCTTGAACATCTCAATTTAATCTATAACATGTGGAATTAAATGCATAATAAATAATTAATAACTCTCTTTAATCTACTAATAGGAGGGGGACCTAAGTTTCTATAAGACTAGTTTCCTTTCATCACTATAGAAGCAAGAGTAGGGCAAGACAGAAATTAGATTGTCTCCAAATCCTTACTAGGTATGTGGAAGATTTTGGGTAAAGAATGCAATATTTTACTGTAAACTAATTTCTCTTCAAGGCCTCAATTTAATAACATCTATAATTAAATGCATGATAAATAATTAATAACTCTATTTAATCCATGAATAGTGGGGCAAGTTTCCATAACACAAGTTTCCTTTTTATTAGTATGGAAGAAAGAGTAGGGCAAGGCAGGGAAGTGGAAGATTTTGAGTAAATAATACATTTTTTTAGTGTAAAATTTCTAAATTTTCTACTTTTAGAATGTAAAATCTATTATACAATGCCTTTTTTACAAGGTATATCACTTGAGAAGGAGATGAGTTCTGATTAGAATACTATTATTAGATCCTTGGTTGAACTACTTTGAGGAAGTCACATCCTATGATAAAAATAGTGTCAAATTAATGTTTTTTCTTAAATGTTCACCTGATGACAAATAATTTTGCAACATGGTCCCAAAACTTTGGTAAAGTTATTAGATACAAAAGTTTGGACTTTTATTTAGGATTATGCCACTGACAAACTGAGGATGTTTTCTCTACAAAGGGAAGGACAAACTTTGTTGGTGAACAGACAGGGTATGCATACAAATATAAATATGGGCGGGAGGAATCGCTCTATAGAAATTTAAATTCGAGTATATTTGCAAATTGATTAGTGGAGGATGCGTGGAAGTTATTTGGTCGCACGTTGCACATTGAACACGTGGAAGCTCCAGAGAGGAGGGACGGTGAGGGAAGGTCGTGTCTCTCTATAAAAGACGACACCTTGCAAAACTTGGTTGTTGCTTTCTTCTTCTTCTTCTTCTTCTTCTTCGCTCTGCTGAGATTCCCAGAATCAGTCGTCCACTCCGGCGCCGACGGGGTGGTCTTTCATCAGCCTGATGGGGAACCTCGTGGCGGAGGATGATCTGGCGACGGCGACGGCGACAGCGAAGCCCAGGGTTCTTTGCCTCCACGGCTTCCGGACCAGCGGGGAGATAATGAGGAAGCAGGTGCTGGAGAAGTGGCCGGAAGCCGTCACTTCACGGCTAGATCTGGTATTCGCCGACGCGCCATTCCCGGCGGAGGGCAAGTCGGATGTGGAGGGCATCTTCGCTCCCCCCTACTACGAGTGGTTCCAGTTTGACAAGGTAACTAATCTGTGGGTAAACCCTAATTTAAATCCGTCCAATCTTCAGGATTGCTTAAAATTTCCTGTGGATATCGACGGAATCAGGCGTTCAAGGAGTATAGGAATTTCGACGAGTGCCTGAATTACATTGAGGAGTTTATGATCCAGCACGGCCCTTTCGACGGGCTGATGGGGTTCTCGCAGGTGCTCTACTCCTTCTCCATTCTCTCCGTTCCAACTTGATTTTTCTACTATCTGATAAGATTCAGCGTTCTGGACTGGAAAATGCCTCGATTCTCTCACTGACTAATGCTGAAATTAATTGGAGTTTGCAGGGGGCGATCCTGTCGGCAGCACTTCCGGGAATGCAAGCCAAGGTGAGATATGGAGCTCTCTAGATTACGCCAGGGAGATTAAGAAATGGGGATAGAAGAGGACTTAACGAGCGAGCTGATGAATCTGTAGGGGGTGGCGCTAACAAGAGTTCCGAAGTTGAAGTTCGTTATGATCATCGGAGGTGCCAAGTTTGCCTCTCCGGTGGTGGCAGAGATGGCCTACTCTGAAAAGATCAGTTGCCCTTCCCTCCATTTCCTAGGTTGGTATTTAAGTTTCAACAAGGTTTTTTAAATTTTAACTCCAATTAATGTAATGGACGACCATATTTTCCAAAATTCTTGCGGGATTGTGTTGTCTTGGTTTCAATCACCTCGATCTAGAGATAATATCCACCAGTATCAAAGGTTTTCACCCTTCTTGTGATTAATCAAATCTTCTATGCCTTGAATAGTCTTTCATTGCTACAATTTTCAATGATCAATTAGAAGGTGTTTGATAGTTGTGTTCTGCTGGGATCTAAATGTTTACTTTTTACCGTTATGATCTCTTTTGATTGCCCAAGTAGAGATAACTGCTAAGAGTCTAGTCTCCCTTTCTTCTTCTCCTCGGTTCTGCAGGCGAGTTGGACTTCCTGAGGCCCCATGGGGAGGTCCTGCTGGAGTCATACGAGGAGCCTGTGGTGATCCACCATCCCAAGGGCCACACAGTGCCCAGGCTCCGTAAGTATTCCCCTCACATAGTTCTTCTGAAATAATTTACATGAACCTTGATATCATGGGATTATTTAACCTGCCCTTAATTTTATGTGATCTTGGCCAGTGGACGAGAAGAGCTTGGAGACAGCAATGAGCTTCCTGCAGAGGATCGAGCAAGTCGTAGTTGGAAGTGATCTCTCTATTGAGGGCATAGAAGCAGCTTCAGCAGCTTGAGCACTCAACTAGGCTCATTAATTTGTCAACAAGGGAAGGGCTATCCCTGAAATTCGTTGGGCTACTTCTGGGATCATATAGCATTTTTTAATGTGGGAGACCCTGTGGTTCATTCTTTCCCATTTTAATTAGAAAGCCCCAGTACATGATGAAGACATTGTAAATGCTAAATGCCCACAAGCATGGGTGACCTGTGACGTGCTAGAATCTTCTCAGATTGCCATTTAAGCGGCATATAAGTTATTCTCCTTCAAGTCGTGAATTTTATCAATAGTTTATGCTTTACTTGCTGACGGTAAAGTTGGAGTTTTTAGCTTGCATTACGAGTAAGTGTAGCTTGGCCCACTTTCCTCCACGAATCTTGCAGAAGTGCTGAAATCTTATCAAGCTGCTCATATTTCCTGAGCGAATCAGTGATTATTTATTCATAGCCTTGATTATAAGTGTAACTTTATATTGCTGAATTAAATGGGGAGATTAAGCATCCACCCCTTGAACTTTTCTGTTTTTGTTTTTTTTTTTTTCAAATAGCGTTTTTCTTGGAAAATAAAATACGGTTCTTTTCTCCATGTGCTCTGAAGTTTATATGTAATACATTGGAATGGATTATTCATAGTAAGGGGAAATCGACATGCTTGGTTTTATCATGCTATACTAGGCTGTATGCTATACTTAAGACTGATTTCTTGTAATAAAGTTTGATAAAATCCACCATTTGATATCAAACCTTCTAGTACTTCACATATATCTTTTATCACTACTCGAAACTCGTATTCAACACTCTATGTTACCACTACCTCTTTCTGCTCTATCACATGATAAGGTTACCATTGAGCAGAGTGAAATAGCCTAAAATTAGTTATTTGTTGACAATACAACCTGCATACTCACTATTACTATAAACTTTAATCTTAATATTTTTGTGTTTCTTAAATAAAATATCTCTAAGAAGTGTTTTATTTAAATATTATATTATTATATCGACCACTGGAAGGTGAGATTGTCTTGGGTCATAATTGTCTAGTCTTGTGTGGAAGAAGATAAATCAATTTTCACACGAGACATTGATACACTAGTTTGTATGTCAATTTTCACACGAGACATGGGAGCAGCGAATGGATTAGGTAGCTATGGAAGCATGTCATTTTCCCGCGCCTTTCTTTGGCTTCTGGCATACCTCTCCCCCCCACCGACGTGGGAATGATACGGGTGTGTTATACTTCCCTGAGCTTAATCAAGTTGGCTCCTCTACTTTCTACGCATGTTTGAACTACTTGGTCATTTAACGACGAACTAGGAGGCAGAAAAGGAGGATAGCAAGATTTCCAGGGGAGACGTTCCGCTTCCTGCAGGCTTTTATTCGTTGATTATTTTACCATCTCTTACTCTACTGATGTTTAAATGGGTTCGTTTAATAGAAATACCTCGCACAAGCTGGGGGGAGGGAGAGTGTCTCTCTATAAAACACGACACCTTGGAGAATTTGGTCGTTGCTTTCTTCTTCTTCTTCTTCTTCTTCGCTCTGCTGAGATTCCCAGAATCAGTCGTCCACTCCGGCGCCGGCGGGGTGGTCTTTCATCAGCCTGATGGGGAACCTCGTGGCGGAGGATGATCTGGCGACGGCGACGGCGACAGCGAAGCCCAGGGTTCTCTGCCTCCACGGCTTCCGGACCAGCGGGGAGATAATGAGGAAGCAGGTGCTGGAGAAGTGGCCGGAAGCCGTCACTTCACGGCTAGATCTGGTATTCGCCGACGCGCCATTCCCGGCGGAGGGCAAGTCAGATGTGGAGGGCATCTTCGCTCCCCCCTACTACGAGTGGTTCCAGTTTGACAAGGTAACTAATCTGTGGGTAAGCCCTAATTTAAATCGGTCCAATCTTCAGGATTGCTTAAAATTTCCTGTGGATATCGACGGAATCAGGCGTTCAAGGAGTATAGGAATTTCGACGAGTGCCTGAATTACATTGAGGAGTTTATGATCCAGCACGGCCCTTTCGACGGGCTGATGGGGTTCTCGCAGGTGCTCTACTCCTTCTCCATTCTCTCCGTTCCAACTTGATTTTTCTACTATCTGATAAGATTCAGCGTTCTGGACTGGAAAATGCCTCGATTCTCTCACTGACTAATGCTGAAATTAATTGGAGTTTGCAGGGGGCGATCCTGTCGGCAGCACTTCCGGGAATGCAAGCCAAGGTGAGATATGGAGCTCTCTAGATTACGCCAGGGAGATTAAGAAATGGGGATAGAAGAGGACTTAACGAGCGAGCTGATGAATCTGTAGGGGGTGGCGCTAACAAGAGTTCCGAAGTTGAAGTTCGTTACGATCATCGGAGGTACCAACTCATTAAACACTGGTAGTGGGGCGCTTTAACTTGCTACTTTTCCTTCATATTAGCTCATATAATCAACATATCATCAACGTAAAGTAATAATATGATGTAGCAATCTTTAAGCTTCTTCAAATAGCAGAAATGCTCCATTTGACATCCCATGAAGCCACTTCTCATCATGAATCCATCAAACCTTTTATATCATTGTCTTGGTGCTTGCTTCAGCCCATAGAGGTTCTTCCTCAACTTATATACTTGATTTTTCTTTCCTTTAATAGAAGTTTTTTCAGGTTGCATCATATAGATCTCTTCATCTAAATCAACATGAGGGAAAGCTGTCTTGATATCAAGTGGCTCTAAATGAAGATTTTCTACAGCCACCATACTAAGCACCAATCTCACCATGGTTAGCTTAAGATGAGAGAAAAGTTTGGTATAATCCATACTTTCTTTTTGCTGAAATTCCTTCACAATAAGTCTTACTTTGTATCTCTTGCTGCCATCATACTCTTCTTTGATTCTGAAAACCCACTTGTTGCGAATAGCTCTCTTCTCACTTGGTAGTGGAGTTAGCACCCATGTCTGATTTTTCTAAAAGGAATTCATCTTTAGTATTCATTGCCTCTAAATAAGATTTAGGCTCACCACCATCAATTAATAATAAATAGTGTAAGGAAAAAGAATACTTTCAACTAGTCTTTTTATTATGTTTGATCTTCTTGGCTGAAATGAAGTGGGATGGGCTTCATTTTCTGCACTTGCATTTTCAGGGTTGTGCTCAACCCTCTTAGCTAAATCATCTTTTGAAATTTCTTTAAGTTCAACTTGATCTGTGCCACTTGCATACTTTTCATCACAATCTGATTTTGAATCTAACTTGTTCTTGTATGAATGACTTCATTGAATATCACATTTTTGCTCTTTAGAATTTTTCAATTTTGGTCATCCGAAAACCAATTGTTGAATTCATTAGCTCCATATCCAATGAAAAATATTTTCTAGATTTTGGGTCCAGCTTGTCTCTACTTTCAGAATCAACATGAACATATGAAAGGCATCTAGAAATTCTTAAATAGGATAGAATTACCTTCTTTCTAGTCCAACATTCTTTTGGCAACTAATGGCTGGAAGGATTAAATGATCTTTATTTATCGAGTGAGCTGTTGTGCTCATTGCATTTGCCCAAAACATCTTGGTTAATGTTTAAACTAGATTTTTGTGTTAATTAGTTATATTATTTTATTTTATTTTTTAAATTTAAGAATAAATATAAGAATATATCATTAATTTTAAAAGTATGAAGTTAGAATACTTAACTTAATTTTAAATTATTTTAAAAAATTAAAAAAATATTACCACCTACTAGTAAGCCAACACTTGACAATTGACTCAAAGAAGTGTTACAATTGAGTGAGTAGTAATGAACTCGATTTAGAGGTAGTCATATGTCGTCGTGATGCAACCAAGTTCATGTAGATAATATTTATAAAATCTCACTTTTCTATTTAGGATAAGTAAGGGTTGATCTTTAAGGAGTGAGTAATGAGGGTAAGAATTTTACTTAATTTATTTTTTTATATATAGATATATTTGAGATTGTGAAAGATGGAATTAAATCTAAAAAGAGTAAAGATGAGAAATGAAAAGTGCAACAAAAGGGAGAGAATGAATTTAATGCAATAGAATGATAGAATAAATGATACAATTAGTTTGAACTAAGTGTTGATCTATTTATGGAAAAGATTACAAGGATGTCTTAAATTTAGATCTTATATAGACTTTGTTGTGTGTTAATTCTAAGCCATGTGGTGCTTGATCTGTGACAATCTTGATGTGTTCCAAGTAGTCCCTTTTCCATGACAATCTTGAGCATGAGAATGCCATTGATTGAGCCTTGATTTCTCTCTTTTATCCTTTGCCTAATTACTCTTAGAGAGAGAGCCCAAAAGCACCCTCCAAGAGGGGGGTGAGATGCCTTAAACCTCTAGAGAATTAAGCCCTTCTAATATATGGTTATAATTAATAACTAACTCTCTTAGTAGATGACTTAGATTATTTCATAAGGACAGTACTCTAATCTTCCTCTTAGTATCATCTTAAGGTGTCTTAAGATGGGTAGAATAGATCTCATCTCTTGATAACTTTTTTAAGTCCAATGGACTAGGCCAAAGTGATGTCTTCTCTTGGGCTCATAAACATATTAGGCTGGCCCTCTTCATAAGATTTGAGTTTTTCTATTATCTCTAACTCATAATAAGAGCTCACCTAAGTCTTTGCAATCAAATAGTTATGAAGAAAATATGAGAGAATCACCATTTGACTTCATAAAAGTTAAATACATAGATGCAACTACTACTTAAATACATAGTTAAATACATAGAGTTAGTCTGATAATAAAATAAAGTAATATAAAATAATATATAGTAAGACTTAAATAATAAAATATTATGAATATCATAATGATTTAGTAACACATGTATAGTTGTATTATCTACTTATTAATTAGCATATATACATAAGATATTAATACATAGATGCAACTACTACTTTATAATTATCAAGTAGACTCAGACTAAGGGAGTAATGAGTTGAGCTCAAGTGGTGAGGGACTCATTTCACACACATGTGTGTCAGTCTCCTACCATGTCTTGATTTCTAATTGGTCATGGA